ACCAAGCAAACAAGATTTTTAAGCTTTGCATTTAAACTTATTGCCATCGTCGCCTGTCTTAAATTAAGGAAAGCTACGTTTGTGGTCTGGAACTCTTCCTTCATTTACTTCAGATAAGTCAGCTGCGGTTGGATTACTTTGGAGAATTTAATCTTTGTTTCAAGATCTCAGTGGATTTTGCTTCTGCAATTACTTGATCTAAGTCAAGCTTTCATTGGCCATCAATCTTCACCTTAGCTACAAATTGCAAAATTTGGCCACTATTTACATGTGTACCATTTGATCCTGTAGATCCCCATAAGATCAAACGTCAGCCTGTTTCTGGAGATCTTCCATAAATGGCATAACCCCTTCTTTTTCTTATTGAAAGCATCACACAATTGTGTTCTGTTGAAAACTAAAGCCACTTTACCCTTGAGGTGTTCCTTAAACCTTTGTTTAACATTAATGAAAGTGTTTTCCTCACTGAGCAGCTTGAAACGTTTTGCTTATTTATTTATTTATAATAACTTCATTTGCCTAAACAATAAGATAATAATAATAATAATAATAATAATAATAATATAAAAAGAAGCAGAGATAATAATTAAAACATATTTACAGACAGATAAAAAATAAAGATAACATCGAGATGCAAAATGGCAAAAAGGGTCAAGCCAGAGAGGAACTAAATCCTCATTAACGGCAGCCCCCAGAATAAAAGCAAAATATAAAGATAAAAATTATTTGGAAAAAAACTTAATTGATAAATAGATATTGGTGCAATATTATTGATATTATTTAAAAATGTGTTCTTTCAGTTTTTTTTAAAACTTACTAGTAGAGCTAGAACCAATTATGTCATTTGGCAAGTCATTCCAGATTTTTATATATTTATACCAAAAAGAGTTCTTGAGGATGTTTGTTCGAGCATAAGGCGTCCAGATTTTAACATTGTTGATAAATCTCGTCCGACTATTGGAGAAAGTTAAGTAATTACATAAGTCTACTCTTGAAAAACCATTAATGAATTTGAATAATTGCACTAAACTAAGAAATTCACGACACGAGTTGAGTGTTGGCCAGCCAAGATACTCCAAACGTTCACTATAGTCGATAGAACTACCAAGGATCCTCCTGGAAGCATTTCTTTGCACTCTTTCAAGCTTATCAGACAGATATTGTTGATGTGGATTCCACACAGGACAAGCATACTCAACAATTGGCCGAACCATAGACATATCCAATTGTTATTGCTTCAGAGCATTTTCCAAATGTGCGCTTTAGTAGGCCAAGTATCTTATTTGCTTTAGCAGCAACAGAGAGAACATGCGGTTTTCAAGATAAGTCAGATGATATAATGACTCCAAGATATTTGTGTGTTTTAACCTGTTCCAGTGGGATTGAATTGATGTTGTACGAGCATGGTGTTACAGATCTAGATCTTGTGATTCTCATACATTTGCACTTAGTTGCTTTAAGTTTCAAAAGCCACTTTTTGATCTGAGACAAGCTTTCACACACAGGTTGATGAACAGATGATGGCTGATCTGAGTTAAACAATAGAGTATCATCGGCAAACATTTCACTTGAGCACGACAGCTTCTCAGGTATATCATTGACATACAACAAGAACAACATTGGCCCAACAATACTTCCCTGAGGGACACCAGAGTAAACCATGGACCAGTCTGAGCTTTCACCTTCCAGAACAACACATTGGAAACGATCTTGCAGGAAATCACCTAGCCACTCGAGAATCTGACCATTGACACCATATCGGCCAAGCTTAGAGATGAGATGTTTGTGTGGGACTGAGTCAAACGCTTTCTCAAAGTCCAGGAAGACGACATCTGATGTTTTGTTTTTATCTAAGGCTGATGCCCGGGAGTGAAATAGGCGAATAAGTTGGGATGTGCAGGAAAAACCAGCTCGAAAGCCATATTGATGAGGGCTTAACAAGTCATGATCTTCTAGATGAGCCATAATATGTCTTGTGACTAGCTTCTCTAGGGTCTTAACTACAAGCAATGTTAGAGAAATAGGACGATAGTTAGAAACATATTCTTTACCACCATTTTTGTAAACTGGGGTAATGTTGGCACACTTTCAGTCACGAGGTAGTTTTTCCTGTTCTTGAAACTTTGATAAACATTGGTGGCATTACTTCCCTTACCATAAATACGTAAAGTGATACACACCCTATCTGACAGCCCATCATATTGCATTGCTGCTTTGAATAACTGATATAGTGAGATCCATCTGTTCTAATTCTGTTTCGGGGTTGAAAGTCACTGGTGGAGGAATATGAAATTCGCTGCCGTGGTAGCCATCATTCCACTTTGTGAGTCACCCATTTGGCTTTTTTCCAGCAAAATACTTGCTTCTTCAGTAACAGAAGCCTCACTTGTTGCACTCATTCACGCAAATTCTTGGTCTTTCGAATTTAACCAGCAAAATTAACTCTACTGGAGAGTCCTAGTGGATCCCACTTCTGATGCCATGTGTTGATATGGAACCAACAATGAGTAGACTTCAAATGGGTATGAGAATATGCTTTAATGAGAAAAGGTGATTGCAGGGAGCTGGCCAGTGTCTAACGAAATACCATATGTGCAATCTAGTGTCATGTTGTATGAGCTTGGTTACCTAGTTAAGTGGATTAAGGCGTAATCCCTCCACAGCTGTCGGCTTATCCCACAGTGCTCGCTACTTAGAAGCCAAGATGTTAAACAACTTTCCTTTTTACAGAAGGAGGCAGGTCCACTGCAAAACTGTATGCATGTTTCCATGAAGTGAAGTTCCCATCATTAGAGGAAATTTAAGTGTCAAAAGACAATTACTTTACAACTACTCTACTGGAGTCAAGCATCTAGAGTCTTATGCAGAGAGTTCATAGAGTCTTGCCCACTGTGTGACAAGTTTTCCTCTCTAAATCAAAACTGAAGTGAAAAAAAAACATAGAACATCTACACAAGCCAGTGTTAGATACCCAATAGCAATACTTCAGTCAGGAATTTTAACTATTTGTAGTTTGAAATTTTTAAATCTGTAGACTAAATGGGAAAAAATTTGGTTTAAAGCACTCCTTTCACCCTCGAAACGAATCCATGACTTCCAAAAGGAAATCAGTATTTGTGTGGCCAGATTACAAACTTGTGGCTTTGCAAAAGCCGACCAATCTCTCTTGCTCTACTGTCATCTCCTTCTTGCCAAAATTAAATTGAATACTCAAACTAGACCGTGGCTTTAGTGGCCTCTCTTTACGTCTCTTGTTGTAGACTTTTTATTGCTCATACTTCGCTTTTTCCACATGAAGTTTGCTTCTTGGAGTAACAAGTGCTGCAGTGAAGGCCACATTCTTTTCTAGGTGACTGAGGTTTAGTATCTTTTTTTAATAAAGCATAATCTACAGCTTAAAGATTTAAGTGAACTAAGTAAGTATTTATTATAATGGTAAAACGTTTTTGAAGTTTCAGTTTAGAATGAGGGTATGGTAGAATAAAAGTTACATGAAATTTTGAGACTCATTTTGACTATGTAGTTTCTTCTAATGTGGCAGCCATTTAGCCAGAGTGAGCCCTCTAGGGTTAACAATTATCAAGGAAACCTCTATTCGACCTCATCATCCAAAGATTCAACTAACATTCAACAACCAGTGACACCACCCTCATTCAACAGCACCCCATCCTCCAGCAAAATAGCACGCAAAATACAACATTGTTACCCGACTCATGTTCTGCACAAATCAGCTAAATTTTAAACAAACTGTAATGGCATGGTCAACTGCACTGTCTCCAACTCTTCAACCAAATGTGATCCTACCTACATGTCAGCCAAATGTTCAACCTAGCACAGCACTTCCTGTAGCACTGTATTACCTATACCATTTCCTACACTGCCAAATTTCCAACCACTAACCGGAAAGGGGAAGGAGGCTAAAGCAAAGAAGCAGCTGCCAGGCTCTAGGTGCAAAGCAAGGTGGCACATCAAAGACATCTTTCATCAAAATACACAACTCTTGTCATGCCTCTGTCTTAAGCAGCCTCTTTCCAGTTTGTGTTGCCAAACAATTATCTCTAACTCAGACTTTTATGAAATACAGCAACAAACTGTATTTCAGCTCATTTTTAGCGGTAAAGTTTAAAGATTTCATAAACGTCTATTATCTTCCAATAGCAATAATACTTTACATGCAAGTTAAGAATTATCAACAAGCATGTTCGTTAATTTAACCAACCTTAAACAAAATTATCAAGTAATTCAGTCTTGAAAAAATACTTTCATCAAACCATGCCTTTGTGTGTCTATTGTCATCCTTATATTTTAACAACAATAGGCAACAATAAGAAGGACACCAAACTCAATTAGTGTCAATGAAAAGTTGCAGGCAACAAGGTAGTATGTATGATGTGATCCAACTACGCTACTAGTGATGCAAGCACAAGCACAAGCACAAGCACAAGCACAAGCACAAACGCAAGCGTAACAGCTCCTATTTAACAGTAAAATGGCCTTGACGCAAGCATAAACACAAGCACAAGCACAAGCACAAGCACAATGTTACTACAGCAGTTTTGTAGTAAGTGATTAGTAAGGTCAGCGGTTGTCACCAATATGCCAGGTGACTGCTCAACCACAAGGGTGGCCATGTTTTTGTCTCATCACAACTGTGATGCGTAGTTTTCCATCAATGCAAACCTCTGGCCATCTACATTTGTAAAGGAGAACTTAAGTTGTTATCTGAAGATTAAAGTGTTGATCTTGTGAATAACAATGGTAGTATTTTTATCGTCGAAACTCCTTTGGACCTAGCAAGTGTGACGTTCGGAGGCAGCCACACACAAGGATCAAAAACTTTTCTTTCTCTAGTATTTATGCTTGTGCTTGCCTTTGCGTATTCTGAGTAAAAACTGTCACACAAGCAAAAGGAAATCTACCAAATTTGTTCTACATTAGGCTATGTCTGGCCAATTATAGCACTCATTCCAGTTTCCCCCACCTCTGAGCACTTCCACAAAATGGTGGAGGCTGTCGCTGTAGACTTTGATGAAAAGTTTTCTAAGGTTGTTCGGAACTATCAAGTCTTGTATGACAAGGGGTGTAAAGATTTTAAAGACAAAAACAAGAAAACACAAACGTGGACTCAATTTGGCAAGGAAATGGGCATGACAAAAGGTAATATGAATGATTTGTAGTTCTTTGATTCCTTAATGAAAAGTAAAGACAAATGGTGGACGCCATTATTTCAATTCAGGATTCCTCACATCTTAAATTGTTAAATTCTCAAACATTTCGTTAAGTGGTTAGTTTACTGAGAATCTTTGTTAATTTCTAGGATGAGAAGTGAAGAGAATTGTGTAAACTATATATTTAAAATATATTTTTTTCTTAACTGGAGTAAAATTTCTCCACAGATGAGGTAGGCATATTTCCCAAACTTACACAACAGTTTCGGCAGGGAAAACAAAAAAATCAAGGTTTCTGGGAGAAGTCGCAACAATTTTATAGAGATAAATCAAATTTATCAGAAACGTATCCATACTTACAATGGCTGGAGCCATTTATTGTTGAATGAAGAACAAAATCATACTTTGAAACCGAGAGCATTGACATTTCTGATTCAAATGATGAAGGCAGTGACAAAGCTGGAAGTATAACCCCAGATATCGAGGCTATGAGTGACACCTCTCAGCCACCAGTGAAACCCACACCAGCCAAAGTGACTAAAGCCGAGAGGCCTTCCTGGAAGTTCCACAAAAAATCCAGCACTGAGTCAAAAAAAACACAAAATGTTGCAAAAGAAGCAGAAAATGGCATTAATTCAGTCACTTGTATTGCCAAGGACTGTTGAAGTCAGGAAAAGGAAAAGGATTAAGATGAAATATTTGGTGATTTAAATCACATCCCAGCTAAAACAGTGGCCCCCTGACAAAAAAATTCTGGTGAAATGCAAATTTCCAATTTGATATATGAACAAATGATGAGTTCAATCAGTGTAGGCTCACCGTATCAAATGTGCTCTTCAAATTATAGAGCAGAGCAACCATGGCAACCTTATTCATAATAAGAATCTAGAATAAATTCAACTTTGTAATATTTATTTAGGACACTTTTAGTATAACAGGTGTTAAAATTAATTGAGTTAAAGTTTCAAATTATTGTTGTAATTGAACCCAAAATGTTTTTAATTTTTCGACCTAGAGGGTGAACAAAACGCTTATCAATTTGATTTTGTAACAGCATACTACTATTATTACAATAATAGGTAATATACGTCATTTTTGAGTGAAGATTTCAGATAATTGCAGTAATGTTACTTAAATGTAGCATAAACTTGAAAGTAACATTATTTATTATGCAACTGGGCAAGTAAGTAGAAAAGTCTCATTATTGCTTCTGTGGTGGCATACTTGTCACAGGTATAGTTTTTAGTTTATATAGTGTGTCGTAGATCAAATATACTAAGCATCGAGGTGCTTGGCTGTTAGTCTGTTCTTTCATGGCTTTGGCTCAGCAAAGTGTCAGAGATACTTTTTTTTTGGATGTTATATTTAATGATGATGTCTTGGAGTTTCATGATTGCATCCTCGATATCTTCTACAGTGTTGAGTAGTGTCAAAAGTAATTATAAAAGCATATGGAGAATGCATAATTTGATGGATGCCATTGACACTTTGTAGATGTTAATGAGAGATTGTACAAATGCTCTTTACAAACTTGACAGGAAGAAAATATTGTCAACTTGATAAAAAATTTGAAGCTTGGAACAGTTTTTTTCTTTTTCAGTACTTTTAAACACTTTGACAAGTTTGTCTTAAGGCCAGTCTGCATATGACACCTACATGTAAGCAATGTTGTTGCTTCTGAAAATAAATGATATGATAAATAAAACCATAGTGTCGATTTATTAATCTATAAGCTCAAACAATTTTCCAACCATTTCTTTTGACTATTGTGTTCTCTAGAAGTAGCGAGTCTATAAAAAATATCAAGTATATATCATAACCCAGATGTATACGACTATGCAGCAACTGAGCCAGTACTTCTCACATATGCCCACTGCTAAGGCACCTCCCCTTGCTCAGAATTAAAGTAATCAGTTAATGCCTCTCGAATTTGAATAGCATTAGCTGTGTAACAAGAACCTCTCACTCTATTTAACCCAAGCAGTGCACCTGTGTCTGAGTCAGGCACTACAATTCTCCACTCTCAAGGCTTTATGTTTCCTGTTTGGTCGATGCAATCTACAAATCCAGATGGACAATACAAAGCTGTCTCAGTTTGCTCAGGTAGCTGTGGAGACAAACAGTTGCTTGAACTATAAGCTCTACAATGTAAACAGATGCAGAAATTGGACCCTTAGACACCCTCCATCTTGCTCTTTAAATACCAAAGGTATTTTCAATTACCCTCCTTGCCCTGGATAGCCTATAATTAAATATCCTCTTGTGTTCAGTCAATGACTTCCCTGGATAGGGACATTGGAGCCATGACTTTAAGGCAAAGGCCTCATCTCCAACCAAAAAGTAAAGTAAAAGGGAAACATTACACCCTTTAAAGTTTTCATGTTTGGGGAAATTAATTGAACCATCTTCCATGGCTTTTCCCATGTCAGAATGTGATTAGACACCACTGTCATTATTGCCCCGATAGTCACCAATATCTACCATGGCAAATTGCCCTTAATACAAGGCTGAAAAGGACTATATAATTATAATAAAAAGATCCACTGTTATTTGGACATTTCATATTGACATGTTTTCCATCCATTGCACCAACGCAGTGAGGTAAATTCCACAGGTCTTCCAAATTCCTTTGGCACCCCACTTTACTCTGCAGCTTCTGTTTGGTTCCAATGACCTTCGTTAGCGAGGGACAACATCTTGGGTCTGAGTTTCTTCGAGATAACTATTCTCGTCCCTCTTGGTATCAACTGTTCAATGCTGCACAGTTCACTACTACATGGGAGGTATCTTTTGAAAGCTAGCTGATCCCACGGTTTTCCATTTTAGCATTCCTTGACTGCAAAGAGTTCTTCATCGATTTCTGAGGCCTCTTCCACTTCTCGTGTAGTCATAGCACAGGAGGGTCGCATTTTTGGCTACAAATCTGACATATTCTTCAGCTTCAGCTGAGTGACTGCGGCTGGTTTTGAGATTTCCCACTAGCCTTGAGAGGGGGTCAGCAATGTTACTCGGCCCAAGCTCATACTTGACCTTGAATTTGTATTGCTGCATTCATACCACCCATCTTTCAATGCGTGCACAAGCTTTTGACCTTGGGCCATAAACAACTTCCAGTGGCTTGTGATCTGTAACAAGATCAAATGGCACACCATCACATGGGGATGGAACTTTTCGAAGGCCCTACGAGCACCAGCGCCTCTTTCTCTGTCTGCGAATATCTTCTCTTGGTGTCTGTCAGACTATAACTTCCATAGCAGATGACTCTTGATCCGTTCTTCTGCTTTTGGGTCAGTACCGCTCCCAGTTCAACTGGACTGGCATCAGCAATTACTTGGGTTGGGGCATCTTTGTTGAAGTACCCCAAAGTCTCAGATGGGCCAATCACTATTTTAGCTCCTGAAAGGCCTTCTTCTGTTCACCTCCAAATATGAAAGGGAGTTCCTGACTTTGTCAGGCAACGTAAGGGCTCAGAGATTGTTGCCAGGTCAGGTATGAAGTGGCCACAGTAGTTTACAAGCTCAAGAAGACTTCAGGTTACTGATACTGTCCAGGGTTCTCACGCCTCTTTCATGGCTTTAACCTTTTCTTCTGTGCAGCTGATCCCGTTCCTGGATAATACCATGCTAAAGAATGTGAGCTTACCCATGCTAAACTGGCACTTTTCTGCATCGAGGGTCAGTCCACGTTCCTTTAATCTCACAATGACTTTCTCCAACTGCAAATCATGTTCTTTCTGGTCTTTACCATGTACGATGATGTCACCAGAAATGTTCTCTTACCCCTCTATACCCGCAAGTGCCGTCTGGACCTTGTACTGATACTGTTCAGAGGTAGAGTTAACACCAGATAATAGTCTCTAGTATCTGAACAGACCACAGTGGGTAGTAAACGTAGTAATCTCACGGGATTCTGGGGAAAGGGTATCCCCACTTAAGGTCAAATTTGGAGAATACTTTGCTGCCAATTATGCTCTGAGTAATCTCATCAACACTAGGGATTGGGTGTCTGGCTCTCCATATTGCCTTATAAGCCCTTCACATGTCAATGCAAAGACGGATGTTACCCCCTGACTTCGGGACAGCAACAATTGGATTAACCCATGGTGTGGGTCCTTGTGCAGGTTCAATAATGTCTAATTCAATGAGTTCTTTAATATTTTTTTACAACTTTGATCTCATGCTGAATGGAGTCCTCTTCTTTGCGATTTCTCAGCGATTTCAACTGTACATGGAGGCTTCAGGATCAATGAAGAAGCAAAGAAGCAATGAGTCACCATGTTGCTTCATCTCACGGGAGAAGAAGCACTCAAATTTCACAACACATTTTCATTATTGACCACAGAGCAAAAGCTTCACATCCTACTCGAAAAATTTGAGGACTATTGTAATCCAAATTGGAATATCACATTTGAACGACAAAAATTCTTCATGCATGTTCAGGAAGCAACTGAATGCATCAATCAGTATGTAACTGAGCTGCGCACCAAAGCAAGGACATGTGAATTCGGAGAGCTGTGTGAGAGCTTAATTTGACATAAAATCGTCTGTGGAATAGTGTGCGACAATGACAAAAATTATTGCAAAAAACAAACTTAAGTCTTCAAACAGCCATCGATATGTGCAGAGCATTGGAGTTTTCAAAACACCAAACAAATTCCATCAACCAAGAATCAAAGAGTGTGAATTAGGTAAAATAGGAAAGCACACCAGGTGGTAAATTCCTACCAAAGGACAGTGAGGAAAAGATCACCAGCTGAAGACAGACAGTGGATTACCAAAGGCATGTAAGGGGTGTGGAAGACCTCATTCACTGAGAAAATGCACAGCTTTTGGAAAATCTGTCGAAAATGCAAAAATCAGAACCACTTTGCATCTCAGTGTCTCTCAAAGAGTGTTCATTTCATGGGAACTGATCAAGCTGCTCATCCTGTTGTCGAAGACGAGCAACTAGAAGAATTATTCTTAGGTTAAGTCCAAAAGAGATGACCATGAGCGAGAATGAAAAGTATCTCTTCAAGTCAACAACAACATTGTAGAATTTAAATTGGATACTGGAGCACAAGTAAATGTAGTCTCATTAGATGTATTCAACTCGCTCGAAGGAACACCATAACTGAAGACAACGAAAGCAAAACTCATTCATTGGCTTCAGCGGATTTGAGATACCTATGCAAGGAGTTGCAAAGATGATTTCTAGGTACAAGGACAAACAGATTAGCCGTGACTTCTTTGTTGTTGAGGCTAAGGGTCAACCCCTCTATTCGGAATAAAAGCACTTCAGGAACTGAGCTTAATTTAGCTTGTCAAAACTGTTGATACAGCTGATGTCATTACAGAGTTCAATCCTTGATGAATTTAATGACCCATTTGAAGGCCTTGGGGAGCTTGAAGGGGAACTTCGCATTGAAATTAAGTTAAATCTCCCATCAATCCCCCTAGAAAAGTTCCATTCACCCTTCTACCCAAGCTAAGGCAGGAGCTGGAGAGAATGGAGTAGTTAGGTGTCATAGAGAAAGTTGATCAGCCAACAGAATGGGTTGACTCCATAGTGATAGTGAAAAAGCCAGATGGGAATACGAGAATCTGTCTTGATTCAAAACATTTGAACTGAGCAGTGAAGAGAGAACGCTTCCAACTTCCAACTTCCAACAGCTGCTGAGATAACAGGCAAGTCAATTGATGCGAAAGTATGCAGCAGATTTGGATGCCAAAGATGGCTTCTGACATGTAAAGCTAGACCATCCTAGTTCTCTTCTCACAACTTTTAACACACCATTTGGTGGTTTCAAATTTAATTGGTTACCGTTTTTCTTGGTTCTATACAGTCCGAGATTGAGCTAATAACAAGAAGCAGCTGAACCACATCAACACGGTGCGCTGTTTTGTTTAATCACGTTTAGTGCTACTAATTCACACTAAATATTTGCCTATCCTTTTTAAATGGTCACCTCTTTGATTTGCAAATTGACGAAGTTCTAGACTGTATTGAAACGTTGTTTTCCAGCAATTATCGGCGCATTTACGTATGATTTTATTGGCCATGTGCAGTTTTCGTTCCTGACTGCAATCATCAATCGGAAAGTCATATGTGTCAGTTTTTTCATTTTCCAAAGGATGAGAAACAACATAAAGGCAATAGAAGGCAATACCTTAGCCTAGTTCAAATGTATAAGATTATAGATGATTACTGTGATATCAATTGCCATCATTACTTTGATATTATTGGAATAACTCGAACTAGAAGTAAGCATTAGTATAAAATAAGGCCTAAAGTTGCTCGTACAAATTATTTTAAATATTCTTTTTTAATAGATATTAACGATTGGAACTGTTTGCCTTCTGAAGTAATGTCATCCCCAAGCCTTCAGTCTGTTAAAGTTTCATTAATTAAGTACCTCCGCTGATAATTACCCCAAATACCAGGGTTTTTTTTTTGAAGGGTATGTCTTAGCATGGGAATTTAGTTTCCCCCTACTACCATCCTGTCAACCATTTTTGTACTTTTGTTCGATGTATGGTTACGAACTGTGATTAAAGATTAAAGATAAATGCTTAGAGGAACTCATCAGGGAAGTTTCAAACAATATCTTGTGGGTGATATTGTTTCACTTGAACAATGGTCGGTGCTTTGATAATCACAAAACTTGCCTCTCAGGAGGGAGAGCCTGATCCTAATTCCAGCTCTAGAGTATGTAGCTGTCGTTTCTGTGATGGAAAAAAAGATTCTTGAAGCCAGATTATTCACCAGGAATGTTATTAAGATATTTGCATCGACTTCTCTGTGTTTACGAATAACACTGAGTGACTTGACTTGAGAACTAGCAAAGGAAAAGTTGCTTCTGCCAGCCTGACAATTCTTCAAGCCGAATTAGACTGTGTACAGAAGGAGCTAAGAGAACTTAAGGAGCAGCAAGTCTACCAAAGAACAAGATATTCAGTGGCTGCCATTGATACTGAAGTATTTAGGATGGAAACTGGGCTCTCAACGAAGTGTTTTACAAATTGTGTTCAATTACACCTTAAGATTTACGGACAATATTAACTATTACTATGGGAAAGTTAATTCTATTAAGTTGGAAGATCAGGTATTTATTAAACTAATGAAACTGAGACAAAACTATACCAACCTCTACCTAGCACAATTATTTTGTATCAAACCCGATGATTCAAAGATTGAGGCAATTCTCAACTTGCCATTGCCGCAAAACAAGAAGGATGTGGAGTGCCTGCTAGGCATGGTAACTTGCCTAGGTAAGTTTATCTCAAACATGAGCACTTAAACTGAACTGCTTAGAGTCCTACTAAAGCAAAAGATACATTGGCACTAGGAGGAGCAGCAAGAAGCTGACCAAGCAAGGATGGCCTGACCACAAACATAAAACACCTCCTGATGCAAGACCAAACTGGAGTTTCAAAGAAGAAATCCATGACGCTGACAGAATTCTCTTCAAAAATCACAAAATGATTGTTTCAGAATGGCTTAGGACCGACATGATTAAAAGAATTCACGAAAGCCACCTTGGGATTGAAAAGTGCAGACAAACGCTGCTAAGTCATTCATTAAACATAATATTTCCACATTGAGTATTTCAGCAGTTTTCAGGAGTGAATTTGTTTAGTGTCTTGGTGGGCGTGTGCATTCGATGTGTATGCATTACGTAGCTCTAATAGATGGTGTGCACAATACCAAAGGGAGTGAACTTCCTTAAAGGCAATGTAAAAAGAGAACCTACTGAATAGCCACAGCATAAAAATGCCTCGATACAATTTTACTGGTCCAGTTAGAAAAATTATGGCGGCCAGGGCTCTGGTGTCTGACTCCATCAGGACCTCCATTTTTTATTAAGGTGTCGGATCAATATCAGTATCTGGGCAACAGCCCACCTACTCCTCCCCTAACCCGACACTAACCCTTACTTGTTATCAATTGACTGTTGCTGGGTTAAGGGAGGGATAGGTGTCCACTTTATATCAGTTCATTTTTACAGAAATGTAGGAAGGAAACTGCGGACTCACCAAGGCTCATACCTGCTTCATACATGCTCTCCAGTTTTTCTGTAATTTCAAACATTGCTCACCTATGCTTTTATGATTCGGTAGGGAAGTAAACCAGAGCCATTGTTAGTGGAACCCAGCTCTGATAACAAGGACCCAATTGCGATAGATGCAGATGAGACTGGTAGCCTCAGTGAATTTGATGACGTTAAAGTAGAAGTCTGTGAAGAAGACAGAATTTGCAGCAAGACAATGGAGAGGTCCTCTTGTCGCATGTCCCTTTTTGTTTTGACAAGTGCAAGTCATAACCCCCCATTATAATGTAGTTATGGCATTTTAATGTAGTCTAAAATATTTAGGATGAAATTTTTTCATCGTTTTTAGATTTGTGGAACTCCTTTATGAAATACCAGTATAAAGTAATAGTAGTTACACTTTTTTCCGAGTTCTAAGTTATGCAGGTGTGTGAGGTAGAATCTCACTTTAAGAGGGTTTTTTTTCTTGATTTGACTAGACTGGAAGCTACTATGTCATAAGCTGCTAGAAATGTTTCCTTAACACTATAGTCAATCTTCTTAACACAGACATTCCTCTAAGGTGGACACCTCTCTAAGGCAGACAGCTAAAGCTGGTCCTGAATGTCTGGCTTAGAGAGAGTTCACTGTATATTGTAGATACTAGTTTAACTAAGGGCCTATAGCCATGTGCTTGAACAAAGTTGTCCCTGGTAGGGGGTAGCCGTCCCTCCAAGTCATCTTTTACCAAGTATTTATATGAAAAAAGTTGTCTCTACTGACTGAGCCAAAAAATGAACCTATAGCCTGGAATTTCCAGAGTCTGGATATAGTTGGTTTTTAAACATCCAAAATTGATGATATAAGGAAAGTTAGCTTCGCAATTACTTTACTGCTATCATTACAGTATTATCGTTGTCGCTACTAGTAATTTTACTTTGGCCAGTAGTAGAGTTCACACATTCTCTATGTGTCCTGACTTCACAATTTTTTCTCAGGCTCCATAATATATAATTTGGCCTTTAATTTGTGTCTATTTCAGGCCAATGGAGTGCACCCAAGAGCATGACATTCATCTGTGTAGAGAGATAATAGTGGTAGAGCCATTTTAGTCTAGAAAGGTACCGTGGCCAGAGGACAGCTTTGGACTAAAATAGCAAGAGTCCTTAAATAACCGCAAGGAGCTCAAGTTTAGAGTAGGGATGAGAAGTGTGAGAGAAAGGTTCGGTGATATACAAAAAGAGTATCTAAAGAAGAACAGAACAGATGAGCGTAGCTGTGGTACATCAATTGACATCACTGAGCAAGACCAGCTATTAGAAGAAATTACAGAGAAAGAGAAGGCAGCAGAGGGGAATAGAGAATATGATAAGAACAAAAAGTAGAGGCAGATACAGCAAAAGCTGAGGAAGCAAGGAGAGTTGCTGTGGAGCACATAGGACAGACGAAGAAGTGGCAGAAAGACGAGGGAAAGAATCAGGGGGAGAGAAAGCGGTCAGGGAGGAGTGGAGGTGATACACTTGAGTATTTAAGAGAGAAGTGCAAAATGGAAAAAACATCGAGGGAGAGAGAGTGAGAGATAAAAAAGGCGGAGCGTGAAAATCAGGCTAAGAGAGCCAAAGAACAACACAGTCAAATGCAAGAAATGACCCATGTCATGCAGCAGCAACAGTAACAGAATCAAAACATGCAAACTCTACGCCTTCAGCAACAACAGCAGCAAAGGCAAGCCATGATAGCTCTCATTGCAAGACTGACTAAGAAAACTAGTTAATGTTTGTTGAATTGTTGTTTGCATATTACATCCACAGGTCTGAATTTAACAGCCTTGATTTGACAAACCTGTTGCTCTCAGTTTAGCTTGCTCTTCAGGTTTTCAATTTCAGAAGAGGCTGTCTTTTTATCGTACAATATTTGAAAACACAGTAATGTAATAACCAGAAGAATGGCTCAAGTTCCGTTTCCTTTATGATCCCGTTGGACCACATGTGGTACAGCATTTTATTATATACCACGAAAATACTACAAATTAATGTGCATGATTTTAGAAAAACATTAGTTGCACTCAATAAGGGTTTTAAATCTGTAAAAGGGTGTACTTTTAAGAATAAATATGATGTTTTTCGGCATAATGACTTATTTTCATGTGGTTGCTTACCGGTTTTCTTCAAATAATAGCTAAGGGATTTTTTGCTCTTTAATGACGTTATTGTTTGAAGGGGTAGGGGTGATTAATAATTTAAATGATTGAAGAGGTGATTTTTTCACAATTCATACCCTAAATATTTTTCTTAGCCTTCAGTGTAGGCATATTTTGAACAAGTAAGTGCATTTCTTTTGTATTGAATGTTGAAGTTGCCATCTTAGATTAGAAAAACAGTAGAGAGGTTTGGTGAGGGAAAAAAAGGGCTAGGGGAGTAGGAGTGAGGCTCAAAATGGGGGAGGGTGAAGGAAGCTCTCTTCCGCAAGCCCTCCTGTTTCTGCCCTCCATGTTTTGTAAATCCAAAGCAGTTGCAAAACACTCGATTGATGTAAACCATCAAACCTTTATGTAGGCTAAAGTTTTGCTCATTATTCCATTTAATCATTATGTAATCATTATGTAATCCCTTAAACGCTCTAAAATGATCTATCTTCAAAGAACAGGAAAATATCGGTTGTGTTGATTAGAAAGCTCTGAGGAATACGAGTAAAAATAATATGTGAATGTTTGCAGAAAAATTTGTCATGAAGCCTATAATTTTGTAAGTTTTCTGTTGTAAGCATTTAAGTATCAAAGTTTTTTTCCTATCCAAGTTGTTAAGTTTTAATTTTACATGGAGAGGGCGAAAGAAAGCAGAGGTGCAATTATTTGAGGGAGAAAGGTGATGCTTGGAATAATTCAAATTGGTGATTATTTGAAATATCTTTCAACAAAAATTTCAATGTTAGTCTTAACCAGACTGAAAGTCAAGGCCATATATGGTCTATGCAAAAATCTATGGGTACTACCAAGCAAAGTAATAGGGGAATATGAAACATTAATTGTACACTTAGGCTTTTTCACATTATGTTCACATTAGTTTTGGAAACTAGCCATGCAATCATGTACACGCAAAGATAAATTCATTTAAAAAGGTCACGGCCATTACTTGAGTCATGGTGTTTGGCTAATTTGACAAAAAAGGCTCAGTCATCATCTTTTTACATGTGATTGGCTTGTATCAAAAAAAGTTAAAATAATTTTAGAAAGCCACAGTGCTCAATGTTCAAGTGTCCTCAATGTAAATATTTACATGTACGATACTTTTTAAATTTCACCAAAAATACTTCTGACCTTGAAATTCCTCATACAATGCTTTGAACTATTATTCAAGCTCACAAAGGAAGTACATTTATTATTTCAATGTCATTATTTTCTTCTAAGAGTACACTGAAAGGATTGAAAATAATATTTCTATTTCGTTCTCGACAAACAATGTTGATAAATCAGAAATGACAGAAGTTCTCTTTTTACTTGTGCTTTACAATGCGTAGAAAATGCCAAAATTCATAATATGACTATACACAATAGTCACTACGATTCGGTGGGTCTAGGTCAAAATACTCTGATACCTGGTTGCCACATAAACATCTGAGGGCATTTCTTAGTATGGCAGAGACAACATATAGCTTTCTTACACTGCTTAATTCAATTTTTGAGTTCTTTTTAAAATCCAAGAACTTAAAGGAGTTTGCTATTTCTCCAAATAGCCATTCCACAGAGGACCTGACTCTACTCATGAATGTGCTATAGACTTCCATCTGAGGAGTGAGCACAGCATTATGGAATGGGTCTGCAAGTAAACCCTGAGAAGGTATTCAGGGTCACCATATACACACATTAGTTGTCTTATAGGTGAATGACCATGCCTTTCTAATGATGGAAGGAGACCAGAGTCAGCAAGCATACCTGATTCATGCTTTCTCCCTTCTGCAAAACAAATTTGAGAGACAAGGTGAGAGAAAGTTTATTTAATATGGACTAATTTATTTATCATCTAGTTTAAACATGCCAATTCTATTGATAAAACTGATCCATAATTTTTGTTGGTTAACTTTTGAGTATTTAAACACTCTAGCATATCTCTGTTTGTCCTCCTGCAAACACTTGAGGGTTTTGGTTTAAACAGTCAGATTCAGTTTTTTATCAGTTCTGATTGCCACAAAGATTGTCTTTTGTTTCATTTCTAACTACATAGGCAAAAAAAGTTACACTGCAGGTAACTGTTACTTACATGAAACAGTGACAGGTTTGCTTATCATTCCATTTTAAAAATTAAGCGGCCCTGCGCCTAAGAAGTGACCAATGATTTCTGGCAAAAAATCAAAATCAGTCGATTTTTATCTTCCAGGTAGAGATTACCTAATACTATTTCAAAATGAATATCTTTTGCTTCAGTTTCGCTTTAGACCAAAAATATCGAGCTGCAAACTTGTTACATCTGATAGCAGCAAAATCTGTCCCAAAATATGCCCCTTCAAAAAACTGTTTCAAAACTCACTATCACAACACAAAATATTGAGAAAACTACGCAGTTATGAAGAAAAAGGCCTTTTAATGCAATATCATTCGATAAACATCGAAAAACTGTAGAAGCAAATGAAAAATAAATTTTCAAATATTGCATATCAAATTAGATGGAGCGTTGGAGATAATTTTAAAATAATTATTTCTACAGAATCCAACCCTGTTGAAAGCAATCACAGTGATGAATCAGACATTAGAAGGGTATACATTACGTTTCTGGAAAAACATCTTCGGCCTCAGTATATTGACCTTGTACGGAGCGTTCAAAGTTGCAGTGTTTACCGTTATCTGGGGTATTTTTGATTAGTTTTCTTTTATCTTTCCATTAGCTATATGTGCACCCTGTTGTAAAAAACATAAAACAGATACGAACTCTATATTGTTTGCTCCTGAAGAGGAATGTACAAAAACACATGCTGCTGAAAAGACATACAAGTTAAGGTATGCTTAAATTGTAGAAATATCTTTTCTGAGGAAGCACAGGCAGAGAACTTATAGGTGTTTCACGACAGTACACAACATTCATAATATGTTCACTATATCTTCTTTGTGAGTAACAAATGAAGTGAAGGTCACATCGAGAAGTGAACAAATGAAGTGAAGGTCACATCGAGAAGTGAACAAATGAAGTGAAGGTCACATCGAGGCTTCGACAATATCGCTTCTGATGGTACAGCTGCATTTGAGACTCTAGAGAAAATAATAGATGACCTGAAGTCATTGGATGCTGAGTCCAAATAGTGTGCGCAAAGCAAGACAACCCTTAAGGGATGCAAACGGTACTTAAAAACAGAGTATCCTTTCAACTGTAGAGACAGCCAGCAGAGTACCTGCTCAGAACACTGCTGTAATTTTGCTCTTAGTGATATTAGTGATGATGCTTTTAAAGTTGAATGCAATCATGTCCACGATGCTGTGAGTAGCAATTGTGAATCCACAAAGAACCTTTTGCAGGAAATGGAAGACCAAATAAGAAACGTGTACATTGCATTTTACAGAAAAGATCACCAAGAAGATATCTTGTACGATTTTGTGAGAGCAAAACAAAACATCCTTGACTGGAAAGTGCACATTCTTAGGTCATGCAATCAAGAAACAGCAAAACAAGACCTACTACAAAACTTGAACACCTCCAAGGCAATCATTGTAATGGACTGGGCAATAAAATTTTAGCAAATGAAGTCTAGAGAGAAACAGTCAGAGTGGTTTAGTAAACGTGGATTAAGTTGGCACATAAGCAGTGTCATCTTTAAAGACGAAAACAGCAGAGAAGTAGAGGTGCAATCGTATGCTCATCTGTTCGATTCCCGTACACAAGACTGGTATTCAATCGTTTCCATTCTAGAAGATCTGCTTGTCAAGTTCAAGTCCACTCATCCTTCAATTTCTCAAGTGTATTTACAACCAGATGAAGCGGGTTGTTACCATAACACTCTCTCATCACAGCTCTACCAGGCATCGGAGAACACACTGGAATTTTGGTCAGATGCTTTGATCATTCTGAGCTGCAACACAGCAAGGTCATTTGTGATCGTATTTTGTGTCCGATGAAAGCTGCCATAAGAACATTTTGCAATGAAGATCATGATATCGTTATGGCCAATGACATGCACACAGTGCTAAAAGACTAGCTGATGAAAGGGACAACTCCAGCCATATGCTCTGTTGATGAATCAAACAAGAATGCTGAGGTTAAAAAATTAGAAGGCTTTCGCAAATTTCATAACTTCTCTTTTGAGGGTGAAGGCATTCGTGTCTGACGATGTTATGGCATTGGTAGCAGGAAGTTTTTTCCTTACAAGTCTTTAATTGTGCAACCGCAAAAATCACCATTGCTCATTACCAAGGAGCCATTTTTCCCCATAAGCATGTCTCAAGTCCTTAAACCAGAGACTGAGCCTGAAAGCGCAACCTTTTTTGTTTCTCCCGAGCCTGGCTGCACTGAAACATTTGCAAGATTTTCAGACTTTGAACTTCATTTAGATGTAGGAGAGGACATGGTACAAAACGAAGCGACCGATCTGCAACATAATATATATGATAAACTAAAGCGAGACTATGTTTGCAAATGTGCTCACAGAAAAAAATCTGTTCCTGAAGCAAACATAATATGGGCTCTGGCCAAGGCAAGAAGTGGTTCTAGTCAGTTTACTGAAAAGGTATAAAATTATCCAACTAAGAACTTTGACATGGGAGAGAAAACTGGACAGAAAGCTTCTGCAGAACAGGTAGCAAAGGACATGTGCAATGTGAGAACTTATGATAACCAAAGGCGTTTTGGAAGGGAAGAATGGCTTACAAAATTGCAAGTCCGAGGATTCTTTTCTCGCTTGGCATCTTTGAGAAGAAAGCAGGGTTGGCATGGGGCTGACACAAGTGAAGAGGATAATGAAGGTGACGAAGTTGGAGAGCAACGCCATGTTGTTCAAGAGGTGATAGAGAATCTGGGCTTAAAACACCCATTTATATTTGTTGTTTACAATCTTTGTCAATGTTACCATAGCAACAAGTTATCATTTTTCAATGTCAGTACCCTAAAAGACATGTGCCGGTATTTTGAAATACCCTACAAATCTAGAGTTCTAAAAAGAGGCCTCTTAGATAAGGTTTCAGAACTTGTACAGGAATGCGAGTGCAGCAAAAAGTAATTTAATTCTGTATCACAATCTTCACAGCACAAGAGTTTGAGTGCGTGGTAATGTCCAATGTCATACTTCAGATACTTTGCAATATGCGTTTATATCACAGACTATACGTAGTGCAATGATTATTTTGTCAATATTCTTAATACTATTGTGGAAACAATGTATCTTAAAAATGAATCAAATCTACAGATCTTTCGTTATAGAGGTTACAAGGATCTATTTCTGCAAAGTGAAGTTTTGCAGGAATCAAATGAAGTAATTTAGGAAATAAAGTTCCCAAATGAGTGAAGCACTTTCCATCACTTTCATTGAATTTAAAATTCTACTGTTCTCCTAATTGTTTTTACCATGTCCTCGCCGAGTTTTCAAGAAATGCTAGCCCTAGGCTAATCAGTGTGCTAAGAGTTGAATCAGTAAGCTGGTCTTTTTCTCCTTGAAGGCCCGAAAATTAAAAAACTGGTCAGATTTATTTCCAAAGACTGCTGACCCAAAACATGGACTTTTGACGCCCTATGTTGTAATGAAATAGAACACTCAGATCTGTGACACGGCGGTACGGGAACATTTTCTATATAAGTCACCATTGGTTACGAAAAATAACATTGCATTATTTCACCAAACGCTTTCTGGACGTGAAAGAGTTGTTTCCCTATTTTCATTTTGTGAGTTCATTTGGATTCTGCTGCAGTTTGGAGAAGTGATTGCTTTCATGCGATAACATTTCCAAGATTCAACTCACCTTAGCAGATGGTAAATGTAAATTTTTTTCTTTTTCTACTTAATTTTCATCTTCCTTTCTCTCTTAAAACCACATCCTTCTATTCATCCCAGGTAAAAATATAAGGTGGGATCCCGCCAATCCCACCTGGATCCCAGGTGGAACATCCTGCATGGGATCCCACATGGGATCCTGCCAATTGAAGTTGGGATCCCATCTTAAATTCCTAATAGCATCCCACCAATCCCACCTGGGATCCCACCTGGGATTATGGAACATCCCGCAGGGGATCCCACATGGGATCCCACCAATTGAAGTTGGGATCCTGCCTTAAATTCCTGATAGCATCCCACCTGCAAAAGCACATTCCAGGCGGGATTAAACCTAGAATCCCACCAATCCCTCTTGGGATCCTGACTTAAATTTCAGATAGTTTCCCAGTCGTGAAATCATGTCTCAGGTGGGATTACACTTGGGATCCTGCCAATCCCAGCTTAGACCCTGCATAAAATTTTAGATGGCTTCCCACTTTCAGAAAAATCCTTAATGGGATCCTGTTTAACACTGGAGACCACAGATTTATGAAATGTACCATATGGGATATCTTATCAATTCCTTTTGTAACCTAATCCTTCAAATTAAGAGGATAAAATTTTCTGGGTGAGCTATAGACCCCATCAATCCACTGAGGGTCCAAAACTTTCCAACTAGCTATATAACATACTGACACCTCCAATTGCAACATCAAACAGTACATGAATACACAGACTATATGTGATCAAGATCTCACAGTTTATTTGCAATGAACCAGCATGTATTCGATGTTGTTTCATTAACAAATTTCTTAACCGAACATTTTTAAAGAATAAAAGCACAACTCAGCATAGTACTTTTTCTTCATTATTTATGCAGACCATTTACGGTGTAATATGGCTCAAAGTTTAAAAAAGTTGGCTGTTGTATATCAAAGAATAGAAGACAAAACCTCAATAACTCATGTTATCAAAAATTTGACAAAGAAGGTAGTGATTTAAATTCTGCTCTCTCTTAAGTCGAATTTTTCAAAGCAAAGCAAGGTCAGAATGTTCCCAAACGTGACGAAAGTAATCTTGAAACCTTACTGATAGATTTATTTCATTGTAAAGTGTAAGCGTAGGAAACTGCAGCAAGTGACCAATTCGATTCTCAGAATTATTCGAGTTTCAGTCGCACCGAGCGTTACGTGAGCTTATTTCAAGCCGTTATATCTATTCTTTGATAAGATTTTGATCACGTAACGAATATCGCAATTTGTACTCACCACAAACTCTCAAAATCCTAGCTTTATATGTGGCCACTCGATCGTTGTTTGAACCAGTCAATATGTCAACTGTTAATTGTCCCTTCTTTTAATTCCACGGCGCCAACGACTT